GTCAGTAGACAATTAGTTTGTGGACATAAACCTATACCCAATTGAAGAAAAACAAAAATAAAGTAATACATTTCAGTTGAATTCAGTGTTGTGCAGTGCAATGCGATACACTACAATGTAATTCAATAAAATTCATACAATAACACGAAGTGGGTGTTAATTTTACAAAGTCGAATAGCTCAAAAGAAAATAATCCCGGGTTACACACAATAAAAAAAATATATATAAAAACTAACATGTAAATTTGAACGAAAAACAAGAGTTTAAAGAAGCTCAATTAACAATTCCTGTGATACAGAGTGTGCCACTTTTAACTTTAAAAATAGCAACAGTCAAATATCTTTGTAATAAAAACAGTGGGATCATTCGGTAGGTCTCACTTAACCGTCTGGCTTTATTGAAATCCAAGAAAAATGCAGATTAAATAATAACTTTTCTCAGCAATTGATCCCAGCTTTTGGAAAAAGAGCTCTTTATTCCCTTGACCGGCAGTAAGCGGGATCTGAAAAACAGTGACACTAAGAAAATAGTCAAAGGAAATGGTTTCCCAAAGTGATGATGTATGACGTAAGACGACGGACACGAACAAGCCAATCAGCGACGAGAATTAGACCACGTGGGGACGAAAGAAGACAGGGCGCGCTCTTCAAATCTTTCTATTCCGACAACAACGCGTGAGAAAATGGCAGACACTTTTAATCTTCCGACAGAAGAAACTGTAAAATTCTTCTTCTTCAATGCTCATGGGAAGTGAAACCCAACGTACACTTTGCGAATTGCAAAGAAGAATGAGCAAACTGGTAAGTAAATTTTTTTTAAAAAAGGTTTCACTTGTGTGAAAATGAAACAAAATTTCCCACATGAACATGTTGCACGGAGTAACTTGCAGCTCTATCTATTCACTTTTACGCTGACGAAAGAGATTCTGTCACACATAAGTGAGCTCATATTTAATGAAATGTTATCAATTCGATTTTCGTTACAGAACTTACCTAAAAAATCCTTACTTCTTGGCTCTCTTGAGTTCGTCAAATGTAAATGTTGTATCCGTGGAAGCTGACAAACACGCTGCAGAGGAAACAGAAAGAGGTGAGTTATACTCCCCTGTTACATTTTTCACATATCACAGTGGAAATTTCTGCACTTAAAACTGAATGCTTAAGCATTGGGAATAATTTATGAGAATTTTTCTAAAAAGTGAAAGTCTCTCAAACACTTCCAGCCGTGATTGACGTTTGGCGCGTAAAAAGCGTACTTGTCTCCAAAACATTTCCTTTATTTTTTTGACTAGAAAATTGAATTGTTTCAGTGATAGCAAAACTTGCTGACTCAAACTACATAATTTGACAAAAATATGGTCTTTTCCGTTCATTTTAAATTGAGAGTTATGTTTTCTGCTTTAGCTTCAGCTTTTTAGTAAAAAAGCATAATTGGCGGCTAACAATTTGAAACATGCAATGGTCACTCGTATCATTAGGGCCCTTTAGCAAACCACGACGGCGACGGCAACAAGGTTGTGGCAAAACAAAAGATCTAATGAGCAGAACAATAGCTCAGCACGTACGTTTTAAAACTTTGTACATTTCTTAGTCGTCCTATGCAAAACAACAACGTGAAATTACCACAATTTGCGTCGTCTGCGAACCGAAACCACGACGGCAAATTATTTTCATTTCCATTT